TTTATAGGTATTTGATTTTCTTCTTGGTGTTAGTTTGTGAAATGATTTGTAAATTATTTGTATTTGCATAATATTGGCATGAGATGATTTAAATAGAGTAACGTGGTCAGTGAGAATTTATATAGCCGACCCCTACTTGTTTGGGATCGAGGCTGAGTATTTGTTGTTATTGTTATGTGTGTTCGTGAAAACAATTCTTTTGTCGAACTTTACTTTGGCTGGTCCTATTTATAAGCAAAGTAGTATTGGTATGATTTGAGCTCGAGTAGAGCGGAATGGTTATGGAGGATTCATATAGTTGATCCCAACTTTGTTTAGAATTGAGGCATAGTTGATTGATTGATAGTATGTGCTCTCTTATTGTGGCTGCTTTTTGTGTTCTTATGTCTTTTTGTTTCTGTCCAAACCTCTGGGCTTAGGGTAAATGGGTTTATGTATTTTGATACGGGATAATAATATGATCATCTCTAACAAGTTAGAATTGATGATGTAGTTTGATCTGGATCGTCCTTCTTTTATTAAAGTGACGGAATTAGATGGTGTTGATGAGTCCAGTCATGGACTCACGGTTCCTCTTTCGGGGTCAGATTGCAGATAGAATCTGGTAGGGTGCACCTCTTAAATATATGTACAGATTTTAACAATTATTGTTATAATAATACACTGACGCGCGCGCGCACACACACACACACACACACACATCTTTCTGCTTACACTTTTAGATTCCAGAATATGCTAAGGTGGTTGACATGAAAAGATGAGTAATGCTATTTTCATTTCTTCCTTGCTTCCTTCAAGCCTGGAGTGCACTCAAAAGTTGTTGTAACACTTATTATCCAGCTCTAAAGGAAGATATCCTGTGCTTATCATCTTCTTGTCCTACTCCAATCCTAGGACTAGGAGCATATTGCAATTAGAGTTCTAATCGTTTATGGATCTGGTGTAATGCTGGGTTCAAAGTGACTTGCACCTGAAGTCGCTTAAGTATTTCTGAACTTCTTTATTTTTATGCTTCCTTGTGTATTCAAGCCCTTTTGCTGATAAATATTCGTCTCTATTATTGAAGAAATGATGAGTGACCTGTAAAGAGTGGTCTACACCGATCAATTGACCCCCCAACTACTTAAACGGTATCCTTTCTTTCTTATTGCAGGAAAGTCTCCCTTTTCTTCCCAGTCCTGGAGCAAACCAAGATATGGTGAAGTTAAGTTGTGCTAGCCTAAAGGTGAATCAGAGACTGGACTTATGGAAACCAATTAGTATGTTATTGGCGGGCAATCACTTTGTCAGAATCCAATCAACTATTAGGCGGTCAGAACTCGTAGATGTGCAAGGTTCATAACTCACACTTCCTCTTAAATTTTGAGTTTTAATTTCGTGATGATCTTAGACTGAATCCGTTATTGTTCATGAAACTACTCAAATCTTTTAAATACTGCATATGCTGATGACGCCTATCTTTTCCCGCAGACACTCACTTGAACTCGGTGCTCTTCAGCTTTGGTATTGCTGAACAATGCACAAGGCAGGAGAAGATTTGGAAGTACCTAATGTCTGGATCAAATGATATAGAAAGCGGTGGAATAGATACGTCTATACTCTTTGATCTTGTGGAGCCACTGGCACATGCAGTGGACATGCATCGACAACAATTTGCTTCTTATCTTGAACAACAGTCTCATGATGCTATGTCTCAGCCATCTCTTATTTATCCAAGTTGTTCACTCCACCTCTGGGAACCTCCTTTAAATGCGGTAAGCGACCTAGGACTCGGGAAAACACTTCATTCTAATAGCCCTCTATTAGTTAATGGTGCTAGTGCCAGGGTTGAGATGAAGGACATACTTGCTATTATCTCTGAATTCTACTTGTCAAAGGACTCAATGAAATGCACAAAGCAAGCGATGCTGGTTCCATACTTTGACAGGTAGCAATAGTTTTCCTTTTGCTTAACTTCTCTTCTAAAGTTTTTATTAAGTTGGGTGGATATGACAAGTCTTTTCCCATTCATGTGTTCATCTTATTGAAATAGAACTTGTTAGACCTTTCTCTTCTGTATTACTCTTCTTGATTGTGAACAGTGTAGCCCATAAATGCATTCTTTACTCTCCTGCATACCTTAGGTCTGCCATTGTACAAAGTTTGTCATTAAAATATAAGAGAAATAATAACAACAACGATCACACATGCTTTGAATGAGAAATAGTTAGAGAGTTAAAAGGAAAGCCTCTACCATTATGAACGGATATATACTTGGCATAGTTACTATCATCCCAAGTCATAATTACAATGGTGCTATCAAGATGATAATTGCCAAAGGACTACGGGAAAGGATCATGCATATGCACTGATTAACCAAAGGAGGGTACGAACTAGTTTGGAAGTGTCAAGATGTCCTAATTCAGTTAGAACCCCTAAAACGGAGGTGATTATATTAGGCAAAGATAAGAATCTCAGCATGTAACCATTTGATCCTATGGGAAAGGATTGTATGCCCAAAATACCCTGGTTTATATATCCTTTTACCCTGAGGTGCTATTCTGAGGGTTCAAGACTTGCATCTCCTTGTTGATGCTTCTTGCGTGTCGAGATGGGCAATGTAGGAGGTGATTTACTAGTTGTTGCGATCTATATGTAATGAAACTAGTTTAAGCTTGCTTCATCATAGGCGCAATGAGCCAGCTTTATACTTGTCAAGGAGTTATCAGTCTGTTGGTTTGAACTATAGTTTAGAGAGGTGAAATTATAATATGTTATGCTTCAGAAGTTGGTTAGACAAAAGGTCAAAGGATGATCAATTTTGTTAGATTGGGGATTGTACCAAATGGGTGCTATTAGCAACTGGCTTTCTGCCCCTTTGACCTAGGCTTAAAGGGGCACCAGGGGTGCTTTTTCAGTCATGTTCAGTCATTTGCTCAAGAATAGTATTTCTTCTTGCGGCTGAGCACATCCCACAAGTGAGGTTAGCTATTCACCAAACTAAAATTTTTGTTTAGAATCATTTTCTTCTTCTTCATCACCATCATCATCAAGTGAACAATGTGCTATCACAGTATTGGCACTTGATACTGAAAATGTTGCATCTTTGTTTGATAGATTGAGTGTAGGCCCTCAAGGTTTAACCTAAGCTGTTTGCTGTGCAGATGCAGAATGTCAAAGGCTAAAGGTGAAAGTTCTGCTCAGAAACTTGACGTGAATGCAGCATCTATAAGCAGGTATCTTATGCATCTCATGTGAAATTTCCCATGTACTTTGCTTTCTTAGCTATGTTTTTATCTAATGATTTTCTTGATATGGAAATCTAATTCATAGATACATTTAATCTATGATTTAAAGTTTCACTTTTTTGATCATTTTCGATGATTAGTGGTAACACTAAGCTGATCTCAAATCTTAGAGAACAAATGTAAGCGAAATATATTAAGTAAGAAAAAAAATAGCTAAATAAGGTAATTGGACTAAGAAAAAGAGTTTATTATTATGGAGATAAACTATGGAAGCATATGTTCAGAAGGATGTATGATCTAGGTTTTCCTATTAGGCTAATTGATTCTCAACTCTGCAGTAGTTCTGCCTTTGGTCGTGGACAGTTAGCTGTATCTCTACTTGAAAGGTCTAACAAAACCACCTCATAACGACTTACATATTTCTGCTGGAAGCATTCATAGTTACTGCACATAATGAAGAGGGAATGGATTCAAGGATATAGGAGCCTTATCACAATTTTCACTTTTTTAAAATGAATTTGAGCTATGTGAGGTGTTTGCTGTACTTGGCATATTTATAGGAGGAAAAAAGTTTCAGCTGCAATCAGTTGCATGAGCATTAAATTTCGTGCTATTCTAGTTTATGCTACCACAGGGAAAATCATCCTCTCTCACATATTTATACTTTCTTACAGTCCTCAGAAAACTAAGTACCAGACATCAACCCAGAAAAGAAGCAACAAAAAGGCAGTTAAAGAGCAAGATATTTACAGAAACAATTATCTCCATGCATGCGAAAGCCTTCTGTCCATAATGGTTGACAAGAAACGGCATGGGAAAACTGCAATACTTTCATTGAAGAAATCGGGGCCTCAACTACCTTACATTCTGACCAAATTCTCAGCTAGCATTGCTGGAACCGGCATAGCTGTCCTTTTCTCTGTTGCCTGCAAACTAGTTTTAGGAAGAATTGCCTTCTCTCCACCTAAACTCTTGAACACTGGTTTAGGCCTTGGACTTGTATGGCTGTCTTGGGCTGTCAATAATTTGAGGGACACCGTTGTTGTAATCAACAGAAGTCCAGGCAAGTTGGATATGATAGAAGAGGACATGATGAATAATCTGGACAAAAATGTGAAGGAAATCTACTTCAGAGCTGCAACTTTGTTAGCAGTTGTAGTGCTGAGGCTTGCTTGATTTCAAGAACACAAGATTTAGAGTGTAAAGATCTGGGCAACTTGGGGATGATATTAGTAGTAGCTGGTTTTGGGACGTCCAACTGTATTATAGTATCTGAGCAGACGGAAATGGATTTTAACTGCACCAAATATATGTAGTGAGTAACATAGCTCAAGCTTTTTCTGCTCATCAGTTCGTGTTGTAGCGGATTGTCTTGTAAAATGATTTGAATAAGGTGAGCACTAGAGTTTTGAGCTATTGAGACCATAAGAAAGAATTTTGACATTATATTCAGGAGCCTAGTTTTAATACATCCAGACGAAGTTGCATAACTTATTTTGAGGCCACAAAAGGTTGTGCTTATAAGGTAAACATCTTTTCCCTTCCGGCTACATATTCTTGACAATACCCTGATTGCCTTGTCAATCCAACTATATTCCGGAAGTGGTATTAATTGAGATGCCAAGATGATCAAGGGATCTTCCAGTGAAGAATTCAATGACACTGCATACATTTCCCGTTTTCTGAAATAAAAAAACTTAAAAACACTGATCACTACTGCCGCCTAAATTTCTGGTAACACACAAGATTGTAATCAACAGAAGTCCACGCTAATCTGAGAGAATGCAAGCAAACAGCTCGTAATGATATTGCGAATTATTACATAGTACAATTGTATCATGGAGTTCCTCCTCAATGCAAAAAACCCTAGTTCATTAAACCAATATGTTTATTATTTAGAGCAATTACTGCTTATGAACTGTAAGATGCTACAAAGTGGACACCTTTCCTCCAATATATTCAATTTCATGACACATGGATTCTCTCAAAATTGCAACAGAAAAAAATATTTGCGTCAAATGATGACTACATTAGCTATCGTCACGTTTCTTGTATTTCCGCAAGCAGCAACATAATTTTCCTTCGTCAACCCCTCTTGAGACAAAACCAGACTGAAACATAAGTTTGCATTTTCCGCGAACCTCAGCTCAGTACCTTGGAAACAACCCCAGCACCAACCGTTCTGCCACCCTCCCTCAGAGCAAATCTTTGTCCTGAAAAGTTACAGGTAGAGGGAATAGAAACAATCAGATGTCTATTCAAATATGTTTTTTTACAAGGAAAAGTCATAATTAAATGCAGAAAGGAGACTCGAAGAAATACTTATTCCACCAATGAATAACAATCAGATCTCTAAGAAAACTAACATATCCTTAAACACATAAACATGCATACAATTTCACATGACCCTATTATGGTATTGAACCACTTGGAAACTTCTAAACAAAAACGACAATGCAGCCAAAGCGTCAGCATATAACTAAATAACTGCCCTTAATTTAACTATGGCAGCCTCACTAACGGGGTATGCTCTACTCAGCATTACTGTGCGCGCGGCACTGTTGGCATCTGCCAGCCGCTGAGCAATGCAAATAGTGCCGTGCGCGCCGACAGCACCGCGCGCGTAGACCCTAATGCGAAAGACAAAGTTGCTGCCAACGGACCTGTTTCTACCTTGTAGAAAACTAAGTCATTTTCATTGTAAATATAGAGTAGTTTAATTTCATGTACTTCCATTATGTTTCTCTAGCTTAGTTAGGTCAAGTCTTGTAACTTTGGTTTATTTTTTTTAAGCACTATTAGGGGGATCAAGCAAGCAAACATTTCTCTGTACTGGTGTCTCTCCCCCTCGACACCGCGTAGCCTTTTGTAATAGCTTTCATTCATTAATGCAATCATGATTTCATTCTCAATTCTCATTTCAGCTTCCGCAATTGCTCTTGACATTAGTTTTCCCGTATGGCACTGGCAATCTCGTCTAGCGTACGGAGGGGACCTTAGTTGGCGGTGGTTTTCCCGTATGGCACTGACAATCTCGTCTAGCGTACGGAGGGTACCTTAGTTGGCGGACAGCAACCGCACTGATATCTTTCGTGATTTTTATTCTATGCTTTTTCTAGGTCAATAAACACTATGTGTAGATGTTCTTTCCTTTTCACAATAAATTTTGATCAATCTTCTTAGAAAGAATATGGCTTTCGTTATAGATCTACCGGGAACAAATCCAAGGGAGGAGAACAATTTTACTCGAAATCAAAACAAACACAAGTCCAATGCCATCTAGCTATATAATCAGTGACACTGAATGTGTCATTTCAACTTTTCTAGATGCAAAGACCACAGAAACAACATTTGGCTCTAATTTCTTGAACAATCTCTTTGACCAACCAAGGGCAAGGAAGAAAAAAGATTTGATGCTTAAGTTGCAATATAAACCAAAATCTTGCACCTCATAGGCAGAATTAAATTAATAAATGGATTTCGGTGTACATCAAGGTTAACAGGAAAGAAACTTCACACGCAGCAGGACAAGGTGCCAATTCATGCGAGATTGACTATCACATTAGCAAGAAGAAACAGCATTGAAGGCAATGTACATGCGACCCAAGTGAGGTGATGATCTCCTTTTTTATCATAAAATACACAAGTCAATATAAGGCACCCCAAAAATTCTTCAGATCTCATTAAACTAGTGGTACACCTTGTCATTGATAATGGCCATTTCAAAATATTATCACTATGCAACTCCAAGAGGAGAAAAATAAGAATAACTATAGCAACTGGGGAGGAGCATTTACTCAACAGAAAAGCAAAATCGCAAAAGGAGCTACAGAATATACTGACCTGCATCAAGAGGAACTGGAGATATCAGCTCGAAAGTAGCAGTAACGTTATCCCCCGGCATAACCATCTTGACGTTTTCAGGCAACTCCACTTTACCAGTAATATCAGCAGTCCTCAGGTAGAACTGAGGCCTATAGTTTGAGAAAAAGGCAGTGTGGCGACCACCTTCATCCTTTGTTAGTACGTATATCTCTGCCTCAAATTTCTTGTACGTTTTCACACTACCAGGCTTTGCAATCACCTATAAACAATATGCAGTATAAGATACTTGAAAATACACATGTATAAGCTGCTTGAAAATACACATTTACGTAGTTACATTATTAAGCTAATATAGCAGACTTCTGACTTCATGAAACATCACATAATCAGACTTGAACAAGTACCCCAAGGTAAATAGAAACAGTGTAACAAATAATTGTAGAGTTCTATCAGGATAACAAGCTACTTTAATAACTGTAACAGAGAGAATCAAGCAAGCAGCCAATGGAAAATGTAGAACAGGAACAAAAACAGGAAGAACCTTTTCAATTTTACAGGTAAACAACTCACTTACAACAACCTAACATAAACACAGTCAAATAATACGGAAAGTAGTAAATTCTGACTGACCATTCCTCGCGTAATATCTTCTCGTTTCAAGCCACGAAGAAGAAGCCCGACATTATCGCCAGCCTAAGTAAGAAAATAAAACAGTATAAAAGTACACAATAATTGATGTATGAAAACAGCTTTTAAAAAGTCATATGGAATGACTCAGATACTTACTTGTCCATGATCCAAGATCTTCTTGAACATTTCAACACCAGTCACTGTAGATTTTAAATTGCCCTATGAAACAAAACTGATTATACAACCATGCAACAAAAAGCACAATCATAATTCTAAAACCAAAGCACAATAATAAAATTTTAACTGGCAATAATCAACCAAATAACAAAACACAAATGTCCAAGCTTCACAGCAAGTTAAGGTCAAACCAAGCACCTTCAGCATTATAATAGTAGTTACATGACCTAAACTTGTTATTAATGGGGGTCCAAAATCTAACTATGCACTAATAGAGTGTATCTTATGTAACTTATTCCTAAAATTTAAATTCGTGTTAAATGAAATTAGCGTGGCTAGTGATCAGGCATCGCGTCAGTCATCCTCAGGATTCCATGCAAACAGAGAGAAAAGGCAGAACCAACTCTAGATCATTAGCACTAGAAATCTGAGTCACATTATGAGCCAATATATCCTCTGCCTAAATAGAATAGGTAATAGAATAAGAACACAGCTAACCTGCATCAGCCCTAAGATCTCCACATCATCTCCAACTTTTATTTGTCCCTGTTCAACACGGCCAGTAGCAACAGTTCCACGTCCCTTCGAAAACATTAACAGCAAATGATTAGTACATTGTAGACAAGATTCAAGCATTAATTTGTTTTTTCCCCTTTCTTGGAAATGAAAAGATGGACTGCAAGCGCTAGCAGAATTTTTCTTTTTCTACTTTGTTCGGAGCGAGAGGATTGTTCTAAAATAAGCAGCATGGAGGATGCCATCACAGTATAAAGAACACACTGAAGAAATAACGGTTTACATGAGTATATGGTATTTTCAGCACTGAAGAGAGTACGGCATTTTCCTCCAAGAAGGACAAGAACAATCGCAGTCATACCAGCATTTTGAGTTATCTCCAAAAACATAAGACGGCTAATCACTGGTTTTAAAGGTTGTAAAAGCATATGCATAGATCATAGAGGCAACCCATTAACAATTAGAGATAACTTTAAAATGAAGTATAATTTCAGAGACCAGAAAGAAACTCGAAAAGAGCAATATAGTTTTTTTATTAGTACAGAAGGGAAATATAGTCATCTTAAGCAACGTGAGATTTTGCAATTTTAAGGAAGTACGGTGTAATCCTTCTCACACTGCAATAAATTTGCCCTAAGGCTACACCGGTTTTATCCCACGCTTGAAAAACGTGGCCAAAACTATCTTTGGGCACGCTTTGTAAGGGTAGCCTTTGTTTATGGGTTTTAGCTACGAAAGATTTAACAACGCTCGTAGAGTGTGCCCTTAGAAAGTATAAACTACGCTTTACAGATGTAGCCAAATTTTAAAACAATTAGCAACACTTATTTATATTTATGGCTACTCTTTCAAGCGTGCTATTTGTGTAATATTAAAAGCAACTCTTTATAAGTGCACTCTAAAGTTGTCCACAAAATTTTCAGCAAAAAAAGTGTTCCCTCCATATATTGCCCGCTTTTAATAAATTATTTTCCTCCAGCTCCAAAAAGGCAAAAAAGTTCCCTCCTCTGTAGGATCTCCAGTTTAGGGTTTCTTTACCTTCTCATACTTTTAACAAAATCTGAAATTTCTACACCTTACAGANGGCAACCCATTAACAATTAGAGATAACTTTAAAATGAAGTATAATTTCAGAGACCAGAAAGAAACTCGAAAAGAGCAATATAGTTTTTTTATTAGTACAGAAGGGAAATATAGTTTTGAAATCTCCGGCTAAGCATGAGCAAATAGAATATAAGATTACCTGAATTGAGAATACATCTTCTACTGGCATTAAGAATGGTTTATCAAGCTGACGCACTGGATCAGGAATATATTCATCTACAGCTTCCATTAACTTTAAAATAGCTTTCTTTCCAATTTCTTCATTAGTTCCCTGTAAAGCAGAAAGAGCTGAACCACGAATGATAGGAATTTCATCTCCAGGAAATTTGTAGAAACTAAGCAGTTCTGCAAGAAAGAAAATTTCATGTAAGAAAATGAGCATAGCAAAGTCGTAATGACAGCTTGCCAGTTACCACGACTTCAGCTTCTGCAGAAGAAATAATACAACTGAAGCAAGTAATGTAAAAGCTGGCGCACCCCGAAGCTCCATCTCCACAAGTTCCAGCAGTTCAGGATCATCAACAGCATCAACTTTGTTTAAAAAGCAGACAAGTGATGGTACGCCAACCTGCAAAGTATAAGAAAAAGCAACATCAGAATCACCATATAGTAGCTTTATGTTATCTCCCTGGTCAATCCACGAGTGATACATGTAGATATCCACCTGGCGTGCAAGCAAGATATGCTCCTTTGTTTGTGGCATGGGTCCATCAGGAGCGGATACAACTAGAATACCACCATCCATTTGGGCAGCTCCAGTAATCATATTCTACAGATTAAAACAGGTGATTAGCAATTGAAGAAAACGGAAGTTTAGAGGGGGGAAAAAGTTACTGTGATACTTGAAATATTTTGAACATCAAGCAGCAAAAAATTGACTGAATTCAGGGACTTGTAATATGTCAGTTTATGCTAGCCAAGCAGATTCATCTTTAGCTAAGGATTGTTAAAGATCTTTTATGTCTCAAAATGCAGAATTTGCAACTTGACTAATTTTTCCATCAACTTGACTAATTTTTTCATCGTTCATATATCCATACGTTTTATCTTCGATCGAAGAATCAATCACCGCAAGAAACAAAATAAGGTGGCTACACAAGTAAAGAGGGAGTATTAGGAAGAACAACCTCTCACAATACTTCTTAGGCCTCCCTCTACCCCTCCCTAGACCCCCACCCCCATGTGCAACCTCTCGCACCTCCTTACTTGTGCCTCCGGGAATCTCCACCTCACATGCCCGTATCATCTCGGCCTCACTTCCCACAGCTTATCCTCCACATGGGACACCCCCACTTTATCCCGAATAACCTCATTGGTGATCCTGTCTTTCATAGTATGCCCACACATCCATCTCAACATCCTCATTTCCGCTACCTTCAACATATGGACATGAAAGTTCTTAGCTGGCCAACATTCCGTTCCATACAACATAGCTGGTCTAACCACCATGCTGTAGAACTTACCTTTAAGTCTTGGTGGCACCTTCTTATCACACAAGACACCACATATGCTACTTGTATTTCTTATTGTTAATTTTTTTGATAAGTTGCTACTTGTATTTCTTATCATCAATGTTGCTCCCAATTGGCATTACTTTCCTCATTTCTGGTTCAGACAACAGAGAACACTTGAAAAAATGTTAAATAAGACTATGGCATGGCCACTCAAATATGAAATTAGTGAGAAGGCTTCCTATCATCTTCGGAAAACCATTAAATAATCAAACAAAGAGAAAAAAGATCCCATTAGTAGTGCCTTTTCACATTACTTATTTATTTGCATCAAACCAAACTTTTTTTTTTGTAGAAAGCGAAACCATACCTTCTCAATCAGAGAAAGTGATGCACAAGGGACCACCCTCTCACAATACTAGTAAAACAAAGTGAATGCTGAATTTTTCTCTCTTCTATTACTGCTGAAGAATTTAACACTACCTCAATTGTGCCACAACATTTTATGCTCTAAAAGTACAAGCCCTTCCACCATCCAATCCAATTTATATAACAATCTCTACTTTGCAACATCCGACAATGTATTATACCATGGGATTTATGATAAATCCAAAAAAAAAAATCTTTACGAATCTCCATTTCGATTATTTTCATTACTACTAATTAATACTATTATAAGAAGACGATTCTCAACCATGAAATGTTGATCGGCTTTTTTATCCTTCGTAAGTGCATATTATGATGGATAAACATTCGATGATAAAAGAATAAAGCATATAAATTTTTTGAGTATTTCAATATTCATCCATTCAAACTTTGAATGTTAGCGAACCAAATATGTTGCTTAATTACATGCTCCACGGTCAGTGAAATGCTTTTCAAATGACACACAATTGCTGAGTGCTTTCTATTTGATACTCAAACAAGCAGAACTACATACTCCAAATCTAAAAGTCATGTTAAATAGATAAAACAAGTTGAACAAGAGTCAAGAGCATCTTAGTTAAAATAGGTAGGTTTTGCATCTCACCTTAACATAATCTGCGTGTCCTGGGCAATCAACATGAGCATAGTGTCTTTTAACCGTCTCATACTCCACGTGGGCCTAAAAATACATCAGCTCAAGCATTAAAAGCAAAATAGAATTAAGAAATAAAACCCCACCAAGGAAGGAAAAATATCCCTTACTGTGGCAATAGTAATTCCTCTCTTTTTCTCTTCCGGGGCCTTATCAATTTCATCAAATGCAACAGCCTTGGCCTTTCCTTCTTCTGCTAGGACCTATACAAGGAACAGGTGCTTATCAGGCAATTGTAGCTCACATAACTGATCGAGGAAAAAAAAGGAAACAGTAATAAGGCGAGACACAAAAGTTTGGCATCATCCTATTAATAGTATCACCCTATACAACCTTCATAAATTTCAAGAATTCAAGTTCATTTAACTAATCAAACTTTTATCTTTGGTTACCTGCCCGATGTCCGGTACCCCCACTGGGCCCCTACTAATACAGATTCGCACAGCGTAAGGCCCATTAAAGGGAGATATTTTCCATTCCCAAGGCTCGAATCTGAGAGGTCTAGTTAAGGATGGAGGAAACCTATCCATCCACCATGATCCTATCATCTATTCAAACTTTGCTATATAGTTTTCTGTATCAAACTAACTGTTTTCTCTTTTTCTGTAAGGAAATAGTTATTAATGTAGGGCATTAATACCCCTATACAAGAAGTATATCAAAAAGTAGAGAAACCTCACAAAAGGATATGGTTCTCTACGCTGTATCAAACTAGCTTTTTAATCACTGCATTAATATTTTATTATGATATATTATCCACTACCGCAGATATAATACACAAATCCAATTAACATTTTAATCTCCAAGTCCCCTTCAAATTCATCATACAAATGAAATGGGGGCAGTAATAAGTACGGAAGTACCAAGCAAACTAACCTTTGTAATTGCGGCAGTAAGAGTAGTCTTTCCATGATCAACATGGCCGATAGTTCCCACGTTTACATGAGGTTTTCTGCAGGAACACAGAAATATAATTACTTAGTGACAAAATTCAGCTAAAAGAATCAAAATGGCTATATTGAGGGAGCAAGGATCAAATCATCACAGGTCAAGCAAAATAGAATTTTCATCATAGATAAGGAATTAAAGAAGAGTGCTGATGTCCTGGACGCTTGGCCATTATATATAGCTGAACATTTTTCAAATGAGTTTAAGTTCTATGCACTGACAGTGTATGATTTTTTACTCTCCCAATCAAGCTTGATATGGTAACCAGTCAAATTGCAGTGACAGTCTAAACATTATTTACAGTGTGCATATAAGCAATAATTTTTAAATTACAGGAGCGACATAAAATAGTAACGAATTTACTATGTTGAGTTACTGAATCAACATCTGGAACTAAACATATTATACATTTAAGGAGAAAGAAGTAAATTTACTATGATGAGTTACTGCATTTAGAAGTTTTAATAAGCTTACGTTCGAGTGAAAGTAGCCATGGATCTCCACCAAGGGTTAGAAAGAGAGGGAGTTTCATTTGCATTTAGCGACTCTGAGAGTGAGAACTGAGTGGGAGCTGATCCTGCTCTACAGCACGAGTAGATTTGAGGAGAGAGTGAGAACACGCGCTTCGAATTGGGATTTCTGAAAGCGACCGATGCCATTGGAGTATGGAGAAGATGGAGAGGAGAAGGTTCTGATGGAAGAAGCTCTGGAAATGTAATGCTTTGGGGTTTTGAAGGGTTTAGGTTTTTTTGCAGTGTGTGTTTCTCCTGCTGTCCAGCAGGGTTTTACTTGGGCGGCGCTAAAACGACGACGTTGCCTCATAGCCTGGGCTCAGTTTCAAAGCGGCTGATGGTAAGTTATGGGCTTATTCCTATGTAGGCCCATGCAGTTTTTCTTCTTTATTGTGTAAAAATTACATGGAATCTTTACCTCTATAGCAATGGTTAACACCTTATTTATTTTAAATAAATACCATTTTAAAAAATTATATTCTATAGATACCTTTTAATATTTATAGCAAAATATCTAATTTTGGTTACCTCCTAACTCTAAGCCACTAAATACGCTATTCAGTTACACTATTTTCTTTCTCTCTCTATTTTGATACATGCCATTCTCTTCCCCCCATTCCCTGAAGCGATTAAACTCAATTGGGTTGCTGGTGCTAATTTTGCAATAGAAAAATTAAGAGCAAGAAAAGGAGACTACGACCCACTTGGTTTAAGCAATGAGGAAGTTAGGGTTTCATCAATCTCGTCTGTTCCGTTTGCTCACCTTTTCGATTTTTCTTAATAAAAAACTGTAGTTGTTTATTTATTCGTTCACTTTCTTAATTGTTGATAATTGGTGCAATCTCAGCCATGGCTGGTGGAGGAAATTTCCTTCATAGAGTTATTTCTTCTGTCGCCAATCAATTAATCGTCTATAGCCTACCCCATCTATTTTGGGACCGGGGAATAAAGAAGAGGCTAAAAGGGAAAAGAAGAAGGTGAAAAGGAACGTTATTGTTAGAGTTGCAGCCCCAGTGATTCAGGGTTTTTGCTCGACAGCGGATTCGCCGGAAATTAGGGTTTGTTCTTGAACAAAAACGACGGAGTTTGGGGCTAAGCAACTTGATTTTCTGTTAATATATTTCAATGTATTTTCATGTATTTCATTGTAGTTATTATGTTTTTTTCATTGTAATTCAATGTATCTCGCTGTATTTCATGTATTTCATTGTATTCACTGTCTTTTTCTTCATTGTATTTCAATGTATCCCGCTGTATTCTATGTATTTTCATTGTATTCACTGTCTCGCTATATGCCATGAATGTATTCATATATTTTTTTTAATTAATATAATTTATGTATTCAGATGTATTATATAATTTCTCTGAAGATTGCTATGTTTTTGGGATATTTTTCGGTTAAGAATCTTTTTTATAACTGGAAATACAAAATTTGTGTGTTATAATTGAGTTTGTTGAGTTATATTAGGAGTCTATTATGTTAATTGATTCACTTTCCGCTTAAAAACAGTGTAATCCCCTGTTTCACGTCGTGAATACAGTCGAATAGAATAATATGTCCAGCTGTAATCCCATGTTTCACGCCATGAATACAGTCGAATACACTCGAATACAACAACTGATTAGCTGGTCTTCCTTGATTCACGCCTATTTTTGCTACTGTATTCATGAATACAATAGCTTAAATACATCAAATACATATTATAACCACAGAAAAGGTATCTATAATCCATAATATAGCAAATGGTATCCATAGATGGCTAATTACTACTAAAAGATAGTGCTTTATGAAAATTTCTCAAATTGCATGGGGCGCACTATTTGATCGCCCCTTTTTAACATGTAGCCGCTTTGTTTTTTTGTTTGCACCCGCACCCATTTTTTTGTTAAAAGCTTTTTAAAATGATGATTTTGCCCCTTTTTATTGAAAGACTGCTTTCTCTCCAAGTATACGCCAGTCCTCTACTGTCTTTGTCTCTCTCCCGTTCTTCGCGTTTTTGATTTGTTCTTCTATGAAATCAAACAGTTTTCGTCACTCTTTTTGATTTTTCAACTGTTTGTTCCCCAATAACATTACGTACAATCACAGGTACATTGTATTAACTTTCTGGGTTTTATTTTAGTATTAACTTTTACGATTTAATTTCTGGTTTTTGTTCTGATAGTCATGTTAGTTGAATCGTTTCCCTTTTTTTATTTATGATAAAATAGTTTCCTAGGGTTTACTTTGATTAGTGCATTAGTTTACTTTTACGACTGTGTTTTTAGGTTTTTTGAACGTGTGTTTGTCTTTTTGATGAAAATTCTATAAATTCTTTGGTGATTTTTGGAGACGTCGAAATTTTTAAAAATTTTGAGAGTTACATAGATGATACTATTAAAGTGTGAAGTTTATAATACTTCAAGGATATCTTAATTTTAGGAGCTGAAGTTTTATTTTGTGTTTTTGTGTTTTTTGTTATATTTTTTATGAGCTTCAACATTTTTTTGGAGTTGAATTTGTGTTCTGTTTTTATAAAAACTACAGCATATTTTTGCTGAAGTTTTTGTTTTGTAACTGGTGAACTTAATCATTCTAGGAGCTGACGTTTTATTTTGTATTTGCTGAACTTCAGCATTTAGGAGCTGAAGTTTTTGTTTTATTTTGCTGAACTTCAGCCTTCTTAGAGCTGAAGTTTTAACTGATTTTTTTTTTAATGTTCTGACGTTATTTTTCCTATATTTTACTTTTTCGAACAGATGGCATCTACGAAATACAAATCACCTACAAATCCTAAAGCACCTAAACAACGTAGAATATGCAAAGGTCCTTCAGTCCCTGTTGCTCCACCTACAAAACCAGGGGATAGATATTATGAGTTTCGAGATTGGTTTAACTGTCGTGCTTACTGGAAGGGGAACCGCGATTTGAAGAGTTTAATTGCAACTTTCTTGACTCCTTCACAATAGGATAAGCTGAATAATGGTACATTTCGGTATATTATGGCTATGGAGAATTTCAAATGCAGCATGAAGTTGGTTCATTGTTTGTGTCTTTCTCGAATATTCTCCAATGATCGAGACTCCATTAGTTTTAAGATTTTTGGTCATGATGTATCATTCACCCTTGAAGACTTTCACATTATGTGCGGTTTGAGGATCACAACACATAATGTTGAAAAACCAAGTAAACGAGAGAGCAAGATTCTGAAGCGCTATTTTGGGAAGTCTAAGGGTGTGACCTTGAAGGACATTCGAGATTTTATGTCCCAGAATGAAATTCAAAAGGATGATGTGAATTTCAAACACGTATGCGAGAGTGATGAAGATGCTATGAAGCTTATGGAAATTCTTGTTGTGGAGTCTATTTTGTTTGGAAAAAAGAATGAATCAACTGTGCTGGAGGAGTATGCAGCTATTGTTGAAGATGATAAGATTTGTGCTGATTATCCTTGGGGTAATGTGTCTTATGAGAAGCTCATTACCTCAGTGAAACATGCATTGGACAACCACGACAAATATTATTCAACTGAGTATACTGTTGGTGGATTTCCATTTCCATTATGTGCTTGATTCTATGAGCGCTTCCCAGATATTCGGTAGAAGTATTTAAGAGAGGACGAGTACCTTGATACCCCTCAGATTCCTAGGATGTTACGTTATGTATGTGTGAGATAGCCTAAATATAAAGAACTTCATGAGGATTACTTCAGTAATCATGGTGTAAGTTAATTTTTTTATTTTTTATTTTTGTAGTTGTGTTAATATGTTGACGTATTAGTTTTATTTTATTTTCATAATATACTTTTTTGTATTAAACAAAAATATCAGACGTTTAGGATATTGGATATAATTCCTACAGAAGAGGAATTGAATTCAATGCCTTTAATTGGACAATTACCATGCAGCCAGATTTGTTCAAAGGTACTTAATGTGGTTCCTTCAATTGGTGAATCACCACGTACTCGGAGTCGATCAAAAGAAGCCAATCGAACTTCTGTAATTGGCGAATCACCTCGTAGCCAGAGTCGTTCTAACCGTTCTACAACGGCGTTTGACAATGAATTAGTCAACACAATATGTTTTGTAAGTTTTGAGCTGAAGTTTTTTGTTTTTGTGTTTTGTAAAACTACAACATGTTTTAGCCGAAGTTTTTGTTCTGTTTGTGATGAACTTAAGCATTCTAGTAGCTGAAGTTGTATTCTGTATTTGCTGAACTTTAGCATTCTTTTATACCTGAAGTTTTGTTTTGTGTCTCTATACTAGAGGGTAACGATGGAGGCTAAAAGGCATGCAGAAGAAGAAAGACGCATGATCGCGAAAGAAGTTGTCGAGCAGTTTCAACGGGATGAGCGATCTGCTATTGTGGATGCGGTTTTCATAAAAGTCAAGGTAAGCTAATTATAGAGAAGTCTTTTTTTTTTTTTTTGCTAATGTTATTCAGATTAATCATTGTTAGTAATTTTTTTCTAGGAATATTTTGATGAGAGTTTGACAAGTTTTTTAAGATTGTCGACAAATCAAATGGAATGGATGATGGCGATTTTGATTTGATGAAGTATCGACAATATGATAGGATGAATGACTCGTTCGAACATCTATCGAATATTAATGATGCTTATGATGCACCGCATGAAGTCGCATATGAAAATGTTACACGTGAGGAAGCGGCTCTTGAAGGCGATCAACGTGTTGAACAACAAGTTGAAAAGGAACGTTCCAGTGTTGATAGACTAAGCAAAGATGGAAATGATGAACAGTTATCAACCGAGAATTTAGGAAGCAAGAAAGGTGCAGATGATGAAGTTGTTGATACTGAAGAACATGCACCGAGTTGTGCTTTGGACAGTGATATTGCAAAAGGCAATTTGTTTGGCGATGGAGATCATGCACCTGTTGGTACTGAAGAACTAACATCGAGTGATGTGTGTACTGATATTGGGAAAGGTGATCGGTTTGCAGACGCAATAGCTATTTGCAAGGAAATTTTAGGTGTAGAGACATAGGAAATTTGCACTACAGGTATAAATATTTTCTATGTTATATATATATATAGGTCATTGATCCCTTCCCCCTCTTTATAATATGCAGTGGAAGTTGAAAATAGTTGTGCTTCAATTGATACAACTCAAAAACTCTCTGGTGATGCTGAATTGAATGAAGATAGAGTTGAGAAAATCCTTCCAGAGAATACTCCAATGCTCCTCGACGTTGTTGCAAAATTGAATAAAGCTGGAGCTGCTAATATCGACAAAGGCATGTAGCCTGACGAAACCACAGTGGAAGACAAAC